TCTGATATTTTTTGTACTTAAGTATCAAAAGTAAATTTGTGACACAAAATCTACTTAAGTATTAAAAGTAAAAGTACTGAGTAAAAGTGAGGAGTTAGATTTTCCAAAATGACATTTATTGGGAGGTGACTTCTAAAAAAAACCTTTTTTACTAACAGCGTGCAGCTGTGATGGGTTGTGTACAAAGTAACTGTGTCAGAATATTATATATTTATACTTCTCATCCAAACACAATTAAATTCACTCTATCCAGGAGACACTATTTATCAGGATAGTATTTTTTTAAGTACTAACAACTCGGAATAAAATAGGAGTAATGACTTTCTACTTCTTACCTTTTTAAAAAACATAGTGAGTAGAAAGTAAAGATAATTGTGTAAAAATGTATAAGTAAAAGTAAAAAGTACGCTGAAAAATAATTACTCAAGGAAAGTACAGATACCCAAAAATTCTACTTTAGTACAATAACAAAGTATTTGTACGTAGTTACTTTAAAACTCTGTTTAAAACCCATTCGATGTAACTGAACAGTTATTAAAATCTCATCTTTCCTTCTGCTTTAAAGCCATGTAACAAATCCAGACAGTATTTTTAAGACGACTCCATCGTTTGATYTTTGTTTGAAGAGGACACAAAGTAAAGTTTGGACTCGATCATGTTTGACTTTGTTTAATTCAGGGCCAAGGAGATCAAGACTAAATTGGGAGTTTTGCTGCAGAAGCCCGACAATGCCATCGACCTCATCGTCCCGTACCCGGAGAAGGTTGAGAAGAAGCCGGAGAAGCTGCAGAAGTGAGTTTGTTTTTTCAGGACAGATGAGTGTCTGTGGGGTGGGCAGAGTGTCGGCCTCATAAATCACGCTGAGGTGGGAGAACATAGAGCAGACCCCCCGAGCTGCTGACCTCCAGACCAGAGCCTGAGTGGGCTCAGGCGTCAGCAGAGGTGGGACYSAGCAGCTCGCTTTAAAACGAWTCAACCTGAAGAGGTTTTTKTAAATCTGTTGAACTTTGTTCTAGTTCTCTAAAGCTCTTACTGATGAAACCGTTTTAATGAAAACAAATAGTTTATAAAACCTGGAGGTTCTGATGGAAGACACCGAGCCCTGAGGTGACGCTCTTTTTTTTTTTTGTTTTGTTTTTCTCACAACTTGTTTGACCTTTTTTTATTTAGATTAGCTCAGCAGATTGTAATTAGTCATCAGGGCCCTGCAGCTCGGAGCAGAATGACGAATTCTGTTCCCCCCGTTAAGCTCTAAATTAGATTTGGAGCTGTTTGTAAACATCTGGGAAATGTTCCGCTCTGCTTCAGTGACAGACTTTGTCTCTGTTATTCTGTCACATCCAGTGGGTGAGCAGCACTCGCTCATCTCTCTGATTGTCAGACGTGAAAAAAAGAACAGAGAACCTAGAAAAACGACCTCAGAGGGAACAGAAAGACATTGGGCCTCATGCAAGAACATGTTCGTATTCTTATCCTAAATTTCTCTTACTTTTGTTCGTACAAAGGGTTCGTACGAACATGTCACGTCAGATTCAACAAACTGAAGAAATTTATAGTTAGTACTGATTAAATACAACACAGAGTTAGGGTTTTCTACTTTATAC